ACAAGTAACTTTCCAAACCCTGAATCAAACACAATGTTTCGGCCAGTAATACTGGTCCTCTTCAAGTAACAGAATTCTGTTTTCTAACGTTGACGACTAGGCACATTGTACATACAACGAAATTTCTGACTTCTACTTCATCTTCACATCTATAACCTGACGAATCTCACATTTGTGGGCACTCTTGTAAGTTTGTTACCTGAAGAGGACCAGTGTTACTGGCCGAAACGTTGCGTTTTATTTTAAGGGGATGCTGGGGTGATTCTGCACTTTTGCACCTTTCTAACCTAGAAACTATCAGTTCGCGGAAACACTTGTGTAATAGACAAATTAAGTGGCTTATGTGTACAGATCGAAAGCAGCTTGATATTCCGGCTAAATGAAAGAACAATATGGCCTCACTGAAACTAAGTTTGTAAATCTAATAAGAAATAATAGTGAGCAGCACACACATACCTTAGTTTCAGTGATGCCATATTGTTCTTTCATTTAGCCGGAATAGCAAGCTGCTTTCGATCTGTACACATAAGCCACTTAATTTGTATATTACGCAAGTGTTTCCGCGAGCTGATAGTTGCTAGGTTAGAAAGGTGCAAAAGTGCAGAATCACTCCAGCTATCCCCTTAATAAAGAATTGCCAGTAAGGTCGTTTCCATACTTATTAAAATTCTTGACTTCTTGACTGGAGACTCTAAGCTGCTAATTATTAAACAATGTACGGATAGACAAAACTATTCTTAAAAAAAGTGTATAATCGATGCATAAAAGAGATGTGTAATTTTTGAGCGTTGCTTTTGTAATACGAAACTGAAGAGAATTGTGCATTTATTTATTATCTCGAAAACAAAAGATTTTCACTGAAGCCCACGCCACACAGTATTGTCCATTCGATTGTTCGCAGCCGAGAAAAAATCGGCACTTCTCGCGCCGCTGTCTCCTTTCGCGCGAGCAATATTTTTTTTCGCGTCCGGCGACTGCGTCTTAGCCCCCTCGATGCTCCACCGGTCCTCTCTCGCTTCTTCCTCGTTCTAACTTTAGACGCTAGAAGGAGGACTTCTTCTCCGGCGATCGTGCAATTTTGGGAGCTGTCGAGCTATTTGCGTGTACGGCGATACACGAAGATTCCGGCAAAAGTGACGACGTAGGGATATTTCACTCGAAACGTGAGAATGAAACTCCTCCAGCGTCTCATTAATGTCGTTCTTGATAATGTTGATACAGCCGTGAAGCGACCGTATAAGTAATATGCATAAGCCGCAGGGTTCTGTAACGCGATAGGCGCTAATTTATATAAGAGAATATAATGCTAAAGTAATATACAGCGGTAAATAGTACTACGCGAGTAGAGGTGCTATTGCAAGATACATCTTATCCAAGGGTTACATAAAAACTACATTTTTCGCGACGTAACGTAATTAATATTAAAGGCACAATACTTTTGCGGGAAATTTGTGCTTTTTTTTAAGAAACTACTACTGCCGATTTTATTGTAGGATAAATTGACAATCGCAACCGACGGGGAACTTTAATTGATATTGTGATTTCTATTTTACTCCAATGTGTGCGAAGCGTATCAAGCGCTCGTACGTCTTGTCGTAGAAATTGCAAAATCGTGCGACCGACATATGTAAACAATTAAGCCGATCCCAATTTCATCGATGTTACGTACCAGTTTTTCGTCCTCCCTTCGTACCCCAACTTTGCAACGACGAGGGAAATTTATCGTCGGCGGATTGGACGAGTTCGGTGACCGTTTGCCGCGGAGGATCCCAATTTCACAGTTGACTTTCGAATTTAATGGAGTCTGGCGGGCAGACGGGAGAAGAGGTCCTGCAGGCTGATAAGGGACGGAAGAAGCGTCCCGAAGAAGGGGTGAAGCGAGGCAGAAGCAGCGACGACGGAGACGGGCAGGGGTAGCGACCGAGCGGCGGCGACGGCGGCGGCGGCGGCGGCGGCCTGTCGGAGCGTGACAAATTGCTCCGCTAATCTGCGTTAACCAGTCCTTGAACCCCGTCATCGTCGTTCCTTTATCCCGGTACGGGACACCGAGTGCTCGCGAAATCAGCGTCTCGATGGACGGTCCAGGCCGCCGTGGCGTCACGTCGCGTCGCGTCGGCACAGGCTGCGGATATTTTTATCGTCAACCGAGGAAGGAGCACAAGCCAAGAAAAAAGAGAGAGAGAGAGAGAGAGAGAGAGAGAGAGAGAGAGAGAGAGAAGGGCGAGAAAAGGATGCACGGGAAACCACGCGCGCGCGATGGATCGATCGCAGCCGTCGAAATCGAGATTACACGATTGTCGGCTCATCCATCTTACCGGGATGGTCGCCGCTTCCCATTAAAAGTGCATCAGACCCAAGCCAATCCGTTCCGACTGCCGCCACCGGGATCTCCGCTCCACCCCCGCCGCGCGGATCCGCCGCATGGAATAATATCGCCGGTTGTTATGATAATCGCGCAGCATCGCGCCGTATCGCACCGCATCGCGTCAAGCCGCCCAGAAAATTGGCTCTTCTGCATCACAATGACTTCTCTCTCTCTTTCCCGCCAGTGTTCCCCCTCTCCATGCCCCCTCGCAAGTTGTCGCAGCATCCACGAAAGTCACCCCTCCGAGTATTGCGTTCACGATCCGAGATCCGGGATCTTCCGCTAGATTTCGATGAAATTTATAATTACCTTACGTACGCTTCGGAAAACCCCGTGAGATCGCGCCGATCCACGTATCGTCTCTCCGCAGCTGCTGCATTCGTTGCTATACGAATCGAAGAATCCCAAGTGTGACTTAAATGCAAGTCGGATTAATTTTCTGCTTCTCAACATAATTTTACTCGGTCCTATCTTGCGAATCTTGGAAAAACTTTTATTTCACGAGGCACATACTTCATTACACATTCGCGTTATTATACGCGACATCATAGTGCAATTACGTTGAGATATTCGAGTATCGGTTGCACGTTATCATTAGAATTCTGTTTTGTGTGATATATTTACTTTAGATATATTACATTTTGTAGACATTGTTTACGCGTATCGCACTATCATTGGAACCGTTAGAGATCTTGTTTATTACGTATTTCCCAATCGTGCCACTTGTCGTTAAACACTGTCATTGTGTTTAATGAGGAAAACCGAAATGAGATAAGTATTCCCGTGTCTGCCGCTTTGTCGCAGCACGCTGCGATCGGCTCCCCCTTGTGTACCCTTAACGTATCCCTCGGGGACTCGGCATACATCCCCGATCGCTTTGCTCGCACATAACCCGCCTGATCGTGGTTAATGAAGAAGATCTAAACGATATGAATGGTCTTCCATCCGGCGATTCTACCGCCATAAAAACGCAATGATAGAAACGCGATCTGTAGTCGTTATTCCCTAACGAACTCAATTAATTTCATGCCGTCGCAGCTGTCGCACTAGGTGGCGAAATCACGCCGGTAATGCTTCTCTTGAGGGAACAGTTTTATTATTCCTCCAGATTTGCATTGACAGATAAGTATTACATCTTTTGGGACAAAGTATAATTCAAGATAGCATATTTTGCAACAAGGGCTAATATTAAATCTTACTTTTGCGAAAGTAATTAAACACGAATTGTGCTCAAAGTAACTCAAAGTCATGACGATTAATTAGTTAATTTCCGTTTTGGATTTCCAATCTCATCGTATTTTGTCAACGTATAAATCTAGCAACTTTAAGTTACGCAGTGACATTAGAAATGAAAAAAAAGAGAGAACGAGAAAGGGGAAAATTTTCAAAAGAGACACCACTCGATACACCTGACATTGTCGAAGACCGCGAAGTGCTCCGGCTGACAAAACAGAAAACGAACCTCGGCGAAGCAGGCGGACGAGCGATGAAGTGAGAGGGAGGAGAAACAATATAAATTACGCAATTCAATTAGACGCAATCAATCGGCGCCGGCCAGGTATATCTCGATGTGGGGACCGCCGGGTTATACAAGAACGATACAGTGGGTGGAAGAAGGTTAAAGAGAACCGGGGTGAGAGAGAAAGAGACGAAGAGATGGGAAAAGGTAGCCGCTTGGCGGCCTGTACGACGGGGCAAGAACGATCGCGCGTTAACGAGATACAAATCCCATTACGGCGTAAACCTTCTCGATCCGTCGCCCCCTACGGACTTCCAACCCCCAGGCACTGTGCTGGGCTGTAGGCTATGGGCCACGAGCCACGCCAATTCGGATAAAGTCCCACTGTCTCCCTCTTGCCTTCTCTCTCGGTCTGTCTTGCTTGGTCCAACCTTCTCTGTCTCTTTCACTGCCTTCAACGTACCGCCGACGTACCATCCTCGTCACTTTCCGCCTATCCTCTCCACGTCGCTCTCATTCCATCTCTTCTTCTCTGTCACTCTGGTTTTGTTCGGCAGGCTACCCCCACTCGCGGCATCCCAGGGGCACCCCAACCCCTACGGACCAGAGCCAGGGAATATCTGTCCCCGGGACATCTGCGTGCTGATTGAATCTCCAATCTCCTCTCTCATTGAGCGAACGATTGGCCGTTTCTCTCTTTCTCCGTCCCCGCTTTTCTCTGTTCCTCTCTGATTCGCACTCAAATCGTTCCGTTCTCGCAGGCTCGGCCGGCGACTTGGCTACGCAATGCGGCTCTTTCGCGAGATGCGAGAAGCGAATTGTCTTGGTCTCACGAATAAGAATTCGGTGAGACACGAACGCATATAGGTCGTTAATTGGTCACTAACAACTAACAGTTGTGCTATGGTTAAAAGGTGATATAAATTATACTCAATCTGCATATTATGTATAATATACTGAATCCCCTAATACAAGTCTTGGAATTGAAGATACGTCAAGTCCTTTGTCATCATACATTTTCACAATTGTATCTCTCGTGAGCGTCAAGTCGATCTTCTTTTAGTGTTACTAAATGAATTATTAAATTAAATTTCAGGAAAGTAAATGAAAAAAGTATCTCCACGTGTGGTGAGTGAAATGAATTTCCGTTGAATCTGTAAGAATCACCTCGTACAATGGGAATTGCGACGTCCACGCCGCAATTTTGTCCCTCGTATAATCAATCCTCGTCACCCGACACCGACCCCGTATCATCGCTTCTCCCTTCGTGATTACGTCTCATCCACGTAACACAAAAGTGATCCCGCGGTTATTATTTTCAGATGGCGACTCGCGGGGCGAGTTCGCCTGCGGCAGCGGCCAGGAAGATGAGGAAGGTACACCGGACACCATCATGGAGGAAATGGAGGAAGACGCCGAGGAGGAAGAGGAAGACGAGGAGATTGAAATGCGAGTCGTGGATCAGGATTCGGGCAGCGTCGGACGGGAAAATTCAACGAGCGGCGGCACCAACACAACCACGACGAATTGTAAGAAGCGACAATCGTCGTCGTCGTCGTCTACATCGTCGAGCGGAGTTCAGGTACAAAACTGTCAGGGTCAGGGTCAAAACGGACAGAACGGCACTGGCGGTGGCGGTGGCGGCGGCAACGGCGGCGGCGGCGGTGGTAGCGGTGGTGGTGGTGGTGGTGGTGGTGGAGGAGGTGGAGGTGGCGGAAGTAACAGTAATACCAGTGGCAAACCCAGAAGAGCGCGGACGGCCTTCACATATGAACAGCTGGTCAGGCTAGAGAACAAGTTCAAGACGACCAGATACCTGTCCGTGTGCGAACGTCTGAACCTGGCGCTCGAGCTGCAGCTGACTGAGACCCAGGTGAAGATCTGGTTCCAGAACCGACGAACTAAATGGAAGAAGCAGAACCCGGGGCTAGACGTGAACAGCCCCACCGTGCCGACGACGCCACCGCATCCGTCGCCGTACGCGCCCGCCTTCCTCTTCGCCGCGCATCCTCACCAGCACCCATTGCCACACTCGCACGCGCACCCACACCCTCATGCCCACGTACACCACCCGCCGCCGCCGGTGCCGCCGCCGCCCGGATACTACCACCCGGCGGCCCCACCTTACCCGCCGACCGGACCGACCTTCTTCGGCCATCATCTGTCGGCGACTCCTGCTGCGACTGCGTCAGGACCGCCACCGACCTCTACGCCTTCCTCCGCCGGCCTGGCTCTCTCGTCTCATCCGCATCCGCACACGCATCCGCACGCGTAGCGAAATCGGCGATGATACCCTACGTCAACGTCCTCGCCTTCGTAGTCCTCGGCAAGGAAACGGTGGTCTCGTGTGAGTACTTCCGGCCGTGGCAAGAAAAGTACCAGGATTGGGAGAAGAGCGCAGATTGCGCGCGTTTGTAGAGAAAAAAAAGTTCATCAACTCTTATTGGCATCGTCCGAACGCGTCCGCCGACAATTCGTCATTTCTCCTGGTGATTATTCCTCCTGGTCATCGCACAATTGTTTTCCTTTTTTCTACCAAATCGTACGTATCCTCTATACGTGATAGTGAAATTAATTTGAAAATAGCATAAGTTCATATTTTTTGCAGGAATAGCTAATAGGATGTATTATGTATACTGCAATACGAAGACAAAGAGAAATTAATTTCTCTATATCCTAATTTGTGCGAAAACAACATTTATAATTAAGAGATAACATTTATCGCTTGTTTGTTTCGACAGTTTTAATTCCTGGACTTATGTTGTTTTCAAAATACGGATATTACGGAAAACAATATTTTGGCGTCGGAACCGATTTTTGTTTGATGTGTATATATATATACACGCGTTTAAAAAGAAAAATGTTGAAACCTAATTAAGTATTGAATCAGACGATGGGTGTAATGTTTTCGTTTGTTGGATCGGGGTGCGTAATCGGCCCCAATGTTATATTTTGCCTTCCCGTTGCGCACGTGGAACGACTCGATAGCATAATCGGTTTACGTAGGGTGACGTTCAAAAAACGTATCATTCTGGCGCGACACTGGCCAAACATTTAAATTCCGCGAGTATTTTCCTCCAAACGTCGAGCTTTGGGCTAATGGTTAAGAGAGCAGCGTCTTTTAAAAAACGTACACACACGTCTCCCAACGGAGGGGGGGGGGGGGGACGAGTAACCTGACATTTGACAAAAGGTGGAATGGTAGAAGGCAAAAACTTCATTAAAAAGTTTTGATTGCTTTCGCTTCTCCAATTTGCACTCATCGCTTCCCACTTTGTGAGCCTTGCGTCGTAAAAATTAAACAGAGTCGTAAATTGTTGTCCGGAACTGGCGCGAATCATTCTTTATCCAATAAAAAAAAAGAGACTTCGGTACTTTTCTCCAAGTAAAGTAGAATAACACGAGCACCCGAGTCCTTGTCGTTTTCTCACCTTTGTAATATATTCCGTTCGTCGCTGCGGTTAAGCGACGGAAGAAACTTGTCTTAAAGGGAAGTAGATTTTATCAGAAAAAAAACGCTCTTATATATATAGCGGTAAGGTGCGTGCGTGTAAATGAATGCGCGAGAATGCGTGCGAGAGTGCAGCGATTGTCGAAAAAAAAAAAATTAGTGAGCAATGTTTCGTGCTGATCGTAAAAACGAGGCACATTCGGAACGTAGCGATCGCGTTCCTGTGTAAAATAAAAATCATACGTTACGCTCGTAAAAACCTCCATCCAGTGTGTATAGATACAAATAATCCCTGACACGTGCGACAAGGATGAAGATCGAATTTGCTTACCACACTCGAATCGCCGTGTACATACATAACAACGATATCTCGTATTGTTCACGTTTCCGCGTTTGTCGCGGGATAATTCCGCTGCCGGGTGAAGTTACAAATTTCATCTTATCCGCCGTAATGCCGTAGCGCCGCTACAATATCGTAAAATATCGGCGCGATATTAGTTCATCAGTTTCATTTGAATACAATAGAGTATACAAGTATTTTACTTTCAAACATTATCGGTTTGTCTTTACTGCGAACAGATGCAAAGAACAAGTATACCTAAAGATAATTTTCCTCGTCCCTTTCTTTAAAAAAAGGGATGCTACCGGCGGCGTGAATGTCATTAATATCGAACAGTTGCGGTCTTTTTTCCGTGAAGGCGGTTTTCTCGAAGCGCGAGGTGCTTCACTTTTAGACTCGTGTCATGCTTCACTTCTTTTGTTCACGTCTAATGTGTCACGTTTCGCGTCAGTTAATCTTTTTAACTATCTGCTACGCGTAAAACCTGTAAGAAAATAAGGAAAAATAAATCGCGGGTGTGCTAGTTTGAATAAAATCGACAATTAAACTCTGCTCAATTTCGACCCCGCGCGATATATTCGCCGACACGTCGAAATGTTGCGTTATCGTTGCCTAATAATTTTCAACTCGGCGACACTTTGGTTTTTACAGCTTCTTAACACGGCGTTTCCACGGGAAAACGGGCCATAAGTTCAATTAAGGCGGCGCTGAAAGCCAATTGTTTCGTATCTCTCAGAATCTTGGGATCGTAATTGCTTTCCTACCTTCTCCCCCGCCGCTCGCCGATTACGGGTTTTTTTTTCCTTTATCAGCTCTTAACGAGCGGCGATCGCTCGTCCGTCGTTCTCGATAGCGCGGCCCGTCTGATTTCGAGCACGAGAGAAAAGTGGTTCTCGTTTTTGCGGAAGATAAAGGCGAATCGCTACGAAGGGAGCCTCCGGGAGGAGGAGGGCGAGAAGACGCGCTAAGTGAAGTGAACCATTAGACGGCCGGATGCTAGTTCTCGTTCTTTGAGAGACGCAGATCTTCGCGAAACCCGCACTGCGGTCTTCCACGCGTAATTCCGATCGTATAACGCCGCCTTGTTCGCGACTTGCAGAGGCAGCCACGTTCAATTGACGGAAAATTGCTCGCGCCTTGCTTTGATGCTCAAATTAGAAACTACCCGGTCGGGCCGCGCGACACGCGTCGTCGGCGAGCTGACCACGCGCTTATGCACGTCTTAATTATGAATTGAAGATAAAAGCATCTGTCTGCATCAACGGAGGACAAAGTGGCTCCTACGCTTGTCGTTAAATGTTGCCTAAATGCTGAAACTAATCACTACGAGAGTCCTTTGCTACCGGACCGGCTGTAGGACGGCTGGTCTTCTTAGAAGAATAATCTCCCGTTTTATATGTAAATAAAGGTAAGTATCGCTTTGTAAGCTGCGAGAAACACGGTTGTCATATACTACTGATGTAGATTATACGTTGGGGAAGAGCGTGCAGTTATTTTAACAGACACCGGCCAAAATAATTTCTCGCGTTTATTCTGGTTTGATAGAAAATTTTAGTACAATAAATTTTGTCACCAAAAAAAGAAGAAATTTCATCGAACTGTGAAACCAACTCATTCTTTCACTCGTTTTATCTTGACTCCTTTGTCGGATCTTTCGCCGAAATGACGATGTTATTGAAGCAGAAGTCAGGAGGAAGTTAAATCGACGCGAACGGGAATACGAAAGGAGCGACGGGAGAGAAGACGGATCCGAGAGAAGGGAGAGAAGATGATCCGAGGGCGCTCGAAGAGGTAGGAGTGGCTGTCGGCCGGTCGCCGGACGATTCTCTCGAATTAATTCTTAGGGGTGGATTTGGGAAAGGGGCTGCTGTGTGCCGCCACCGCCGCCGCCGCCGCCGCCTCTGTGGGGTGTGAGTGGAGCGAGTGGACCGTGAAATAACCAACCCCCGCGCGACACTCGCACCCCCTGAACGTTTCGAACATCGACAGTGGCGTAACTTCGTTATAGGTTTCTACGCGGCCGCGAAAAACTTTTTCCAGACAACTTTCCCCGCCCTGCCTCCCCCATCCCGCCTCTGCAGTCGCACAGTCGACGTAAGAAGCAGCACTTAATTAATGATAAACACCGCGCTCGTTACGCTCGCCGAGCGTTATGCTCTTAAGTAGCTACGTCTGGCAAATTTATTTCCTCTGCTTGAACGTCGTCGCGGGAATTATCTTAATCGGCCTTAATCTAGCTATTAATTAGCTCTGTGATCAGTTTACAGAGATCTCTTAATTGTCGCTGCAATTATTCTGAAATATTTATGGAATATCGCGCGCAGCGCGCTTCCATATCTCAAATTTATAACGCGCTAATATCTCTACCAACTTCCATTTAGTTTGATTGCTTCGATACGCTGAATATCGCGAAATTACATGGCGAAGATAAACCGCCGGGACGCCCGATAATATTTTAATTACAATTCTATCGGGGTAGAAAACGATTTGAAAAATGGTAGAACGAAATCTTTTTATTCTTCCGTACCGCGAAGACTTGTACTTGACGGATTATTCCACGGAGTATATATTTTAGCGAATCGGACGTGTTAATTCGCGCGATATCATCGCGCGGAAGAGAAATAACTCTAATCTGAGCCGAGCCGCGCTCTCTCTGCCGTAGCGTGAACGTTGACGGGTTAAACAGAGTTGTACCGCTCTGTGTTCTCGGATTCGTATGGGGATTACTCGCTTGAGGTCGTGACACCGCACGCACCGAGAGCAGCAAGGCACGCCACTGCAGTCAGTCCATTCCAGTTAAGCGTGTAATAGTTCAATAGCTGTCGCAGCCGTGTCTGCGAATACGCAGAGATTCGCTACTGCGTATCCCACGCGTATAAACGCGTATTTATACGAGCGTTTAATCGCGCATTACGCCCTGCGGTATTTCTCTGTCATACTTCATCGTACCTCTCGTCCCTCCCCGTCGCTGTCGAGAAAACTAGCATCGTGACGGGATTAATTTCCATTTTTCAGACACTGAATTGTTAACGCGCGCGACAACCCTGCCGGAAATAATTCTACAAAACTATAAAAATATAATTACCAGATTAATAAAATTCGTATGGCCCAAATGTGATAATCACAAATATTTTTCGCAATAAATTTAAATATTTGAAATATTTAGACATTAACACCCTGTTGCGGCTCTTAGTCCTTTATATTCCTTCAAATTTGTGATTATAACTGCCATCTAAGAAATTCTACGTAAATTTAAAGTGTTATAAAAATCAACATAAAAATGCTAGAAGTGGAACACTTTTGTTAATTTTTGTAATATTCTACAAGTAGGCAGATGCTTTAATTCTTTAGGATTTTGTTGTTTCTCAAATTGTTAAAACTAGTAAAGTTTTGTACTAATCTTTACGAAATTGTACATTTTCATGAAATATTACTTGCAATAATTTCTTAATTTGAGAACATTGTAACTTGTGGTACTACTTCGTAGATATTTTTAAAAAAAAAATTAATGTTTCAACGAAGATATAAAAACTTCTACAAATTCCTATTTCAAATCAATTTTTGTAGTTACTTATAAGATTTTTTTCCGCTAGGAAATGCATTGAGGATAGTCCTCTATTATGAGATAGGATTCTAATACGAGACAGTTTTCAACGTCCACATTCAATCACAAATCTTTTTTCGCAGCAAACACACGATCTAACAAGTGAATTTTCCGCTAAACAGATTTCGCTCCAAGGGCAATAAATTCATGGTGCAACCAACAGATGACGTCTATTAATTTAGCAGAAACTCCGCTATCTCATACTAAAAGCCTATCGCACACACAATAGAGGACTTTCCTCTATATTTAAGAATTTTCAGTAAATTTTATTTCTAGTACATCCATCGTCTTGCGAATCGCAGATCTTCTCCTACTCACAATCAGTTATACTCTCTGACATTCTAACGGTTCTTATTTTAGCGAATCACGATGCAGGCTATCGTGCGGCACTCTATTCCTTGAAAGCCCCAAGTTTTACAGCCACATTCACGTACTTCATACTTTTTCTAAAGCGTAAAAATGTTGAATATCCAGTTCTTTTTATAATCATTGTGTTCCTGAATAACCTGAAGCAAATTTTCCTCCAGAAGCACTTTTCTGGTGCATATACTTGCACAGATTTTTTACGTAATACGAGCGTACATACGTCATGCTTAAGATCCTCCCTCCTCCGAGTCTCGCGCGGCGCTTTCATGCACTTTAGCTTAACCGGGAGATAAAAGCCGCTTCTTACCGGAACGCCTCGATACGCCTCCTTCCATCGAGTATTCGTAGTTAAATCGGATAGCAGGCCGCGTAGACGAACAAAAGCTTCTGCGGATCGATCGATCGGCGGTGAGCCGTTATCTTTCGCGTCCGCGCTTCTCTCTTTCCTTGTTCAGCCTCCGCCCGCCACTCTGTTTTCTGCCATCGCCACTGGAACGTCTCTCGATTGTCCTAGGTATCACGGTTACAACGTACGTACGCGCGTCAGGGGAGATCAGCGATTATGAGCTTGCCAATTCGCTTATTCGCGCGCCGTTAGTTTCTCATCAGCTCGCCCTCACGCTTATCGTAGGCTAAATAGGGCTTGTAGACCTTAGCTCTCTGTCCTTTCTGTCTCTTTTAATCGTATCTTCATCCAGTTTCATTCAAGTACGCAAATATATGTGTATATATACGGTAAAATTTAAAAAAAACTCCCATAAAGTTCTTTGAAATGCCATGTTGTCCCATGATTACATGATTTCCAAATTAAGTTTTAAGAGAAAATTCTTTCCGTGTATGGATTCTCGAAGAACTTGAAGTCAATTTCTTCTAGCAAAAATTTATTGCTTTCTTCATATTTTCTTGCTTATTATATATATTTATTAAGTAATTATACAATATATATTTATTAAGCAATTAAACATATATATATATATATAATAAGCAAGAAAATAAGAAAAAGCGATAAATTTTTGCTAGAAGAAATTAATTTCAAGTTCTTCAAGAATCCATACACAGAGAGAACTTCCTCTTAAAACTTAATCTGGAAATCATGTAATCATGGGAACAGCATGGCATTTCGAAGAACTTTATGAGTTTTGAAATTTTATTCTCTTAAAGTCAATCAGTGGATTATCACTGAAAACAGTAAATATTTGACTGATTCATTTCAGTGATAATGCGCTGATTGACTTTTAGAGAGTACTATTGAAATATATACTAAATATGATTACTAGTAAAATGTATGGTAAAATTTCAAAATACCGCGTTGTCCCACGATTACATGA